CCTACCCTCTATTTCAAATTTTCTGGAAACTATGAGGGAGTCTTCAAGAAGTTTATAGAAAATACATTATCATGTAAAAATTATGTACCAAATTATGTGTGGATGTCAAAATATATGTACCAAAATAAATGCTTACTTTCATTCCTCTTCCCTGCAAATTCCTTGAAGTTTCCTATGTCTCAATTCTAATCTTTTTACTTTATCAAGAACCCTTTCAGCTTTTTTTTTGAGAGTTTTTTTTTTTCTTTTTTTATGGAGAGGTTTTTGCTATAAGGTTTATGCACTTGCCAGACAGAGAGAGAGACAGATAGAAAGCAATAAATCACACCCCAGGGGGGGATGGCCATGCCACAATCCCTTCTCCCCTTCTCCTCTAGGGATCTTGGGCACACACGCACACGCGCCCAGCGTGAGTTTAAGCCACCAGGTTCAGTACTCAAACCGCAGTTAACTACACGGGAGTCCAGCAACACAGCCATTACGCCAACTGCTGGTCCCAAGGACCCCGTTATCTTTAAATGCTCTGTGTATTTCCAGTCTCTAGCCTGTCTTTACTGTTCTCATCAATTTCACACAGGGCAGGCCATGCCGACATGAACACTGCTTCTCCCCCAGTTCTCACATACCACCATGCTGTCCAGGGAGGGCAGAGGCCCCGAGGACAGGGATGGAGCCTTCGCCGCCCTTGCGGCCTTACCGTCCCACAGAAATGGCGCTCTACACCGAAGACGGGGACGGAGCCCTCACCGTCCTCACCACCCCACAGAAATGGCACTCTGCACCAAGGACAGGGACAGAGCCCTAGCCGTCCTCATCGCTGCACTGGGATGGTGCTATGCACCAAGGACGGGGACGGAGTCCTCACCGCCCTCGCCGCCCCACACACTCTGCTCAGCGACAGCACTTGCTGGTGAATCATGGGCACTTTTATCTCAGGTTAAGACTGCAGCAAACAGGAATTCTGAGTTTCCAATCGGTGAACAGTCGAAGCAAGGAGAAAGAACAGGCCAGGAAAAGTGCACTGCAATTTTTGTTTTAATTTCCCATTTACTTTATCTGCCACGACAATGTCACGAATGCCTACTTCCTACCTGCCACCTGTGACTTCCTCGCATTTACTGACTCCGACAGAGCAGGTCCAAAGCCTAAGCTGATATGTGTTTTGCAATAGAAATATCGGGGTAAGCATACTACCTACAAACTGCTTACCAAGGTTTTCCATAAATGCCTTTACAGCTTTTTTTGTACAGAAAAATCTCTGTAAAAACAGACCTCTTCAGTTCAAAAGCTCCATGACTAACGCCATCCATCCGCAAGCAAAACCTCTAAGTGGTCCCTCCAGCAGCGCGGCGCTGCAGCAGGGTGCACGCTGGGAGGGCCCACCTGTGTTCCAGAGCCCTCATGTGCCAGGTGCTCACACACATGCCTGCGGTTCAGGGGTGTGGAGAGAGGACCCTGTTGGGGTACCTCCCTTTGTCTGTCTCTCACTCGTGAATAAAATGAACTTAAATCAGAAACAAGATAAGAAGTGCCCCCCTCCCCCACGATTAACGTTTCACAATGATCTGGAAGTTCTGACTAAAGCAGTCAGAATTAATATTGAAGTGACACAAAATGTTACAGAGGAGGAAATCATCTAAGCACGGCTGATAATGAGATGCTACCTAGAAACCTAGGCCAACGCACTGAAGGCCGGGCCCTGGGAGGAGAGCACAGCAGTGCTGCCCCTCAGAGCCCGCTGCTGACAGACCTGCTTTCCGGTCCAGTTTACACCTAAGATGTGCATTTGGTAAGTAGAACGTAAACCCACTTAAAATCAAAAGAAAAACTTTCAAATGAAGAACATGCAACGAAACACATGCAGAATTATCCTCGGAGTTTAATAAATGGAGACTCAGACCCCTATCTGGATGGGCCAGGCTCAAATTAGAGACACACCAATATTCCCAGTGAATGTTACAAGTTACGTACAGTGGGACTGCTCTTTTGAAACTGCACCAGACGGGTCTTAAGTTTTTCTTAAAGAAACAAATGGACAATTTGAGTAGTTGACATGTAAATATTTTCTCAAAAATATTTAAAATCATACTGTCTCTGTTGGTATATTCACAAACAAAATTATACAAAAATATAAGAAATATTTTGAACATTATCTTTAAAGTTCAGTATTTTGAATTTTTTTTTTTTTTGGGGGGCGAGAGATTTTCACTGTAGGGCGCGTGCGCTCGCCAGACAGACAGAGAGAGACATAGAGACAGAAAGCGAGAAATCACCCCCCAGGGGGGATGGTCACACCGCAATCCCTTCTCCATTCTCCTCTCGGGATCTTGGGCACGCACGCACACGCGCCCGGCATGAGTTTTAAGCCACCGGGTCCGGAACACGAACCACGGTCGACTACATGGGAGTCCAGCAACATAGCCATTACGCTAACTGCTGGTTCCCAGTATTTTGAAATTTTGAAAGTTGTTTAACTGTCAAGAACTATGGAGTATAAGCAAAAAATTTTTGATATGTAAAGTAAATGTGGAAAAATGTAAAAATAAATAAATAAATGGGGAAAAAAACGGAGCCAACAGCCCCTCCGGCCTTGAAACTTACCATGATGTCACTGACCTGAGGTAGATCTGGTGCAAACGTGGCATGTCTGAAGAGAGTGTGGACAGGACAGTCGGCAAGTGGGTGAGCCCTGGAGAGGAACGCGTGAGGGGCAAAGCGCAGGGACGCAACTTCTCACCATGACACATTCTGGGCGGTCACAAGGCCCAGTGCAAAACATGAAACAGCTAGACAGGGTGCTCCATGTAAATGTCGTGCAAACACACCCCCGGCATGCTCCAACTCCATGTGCATAGCTCAGGAACAGAAGATGCCTGGCCAAGCCAACGGTCCAGAGGACCGGCTCAGACACCCTGGGGGACTCCGCACGGCACCAGCATGGTGACCCGAAACAGGACCCACCTGGCCATGCACACGCCCCCTGGAGCATACCTACTCCCTCCCGCCAGCAGTCTCGCCATATGCCAGGGCCTGCAGGTGGTTATAGCGCTGGACTCCCACATGGCAATTAAATAATTCTTTAAAAATAAATAAAGAACAGGATGACTACATAAGCAGAATAGCTTATGTTTTCACCAGAATTGATCACTGTTACTAGACTGACCTCCTTTTAAATCATACCTACAAAGTCGAGTATTATTTTCCAAAAGGCAGATAGTCTTGAAAAGAACAAGGAATGAAGCCAGTGTTGTGACCAGGAAGAACGAGCACCGTCTGCCCCCAGGGAGAGCACGCTCAGAGGTGCAGACCAAGTGCAGGGGCTGCAGCTGCCCCACTGTCTTCCTCTCCAGGCCCTGAGGGGATGGGACAGCATCTGTGGTTAACAGCTTACCCCTACACACTCTTCCTTTAAAGGGGAAGGTGGGTCTAAAATCAGTGCAGTGTCCTTAAAGGAGCAGCCTGGCAGGTGCCTGCCTGTGGCCGGAGGCAGCCTTGCCCAGCGTGGACGGTGTGCCTCGGTCACTGTGGCTACGATACTCCCATGATCTGAGACCACAGAGCTGTGGCTGTGCCCGGCATGGACGATGTGCCTCAGTCACCGTGGCTATGGTGCTCCCATGACCACGGTCACTGTGCCTACGATGCTCCCATGATCAGAGACCACAGAGCTGTGGCTGTGCCCGGCTCCGGGACTGAGCAGCCCTGAGGCCACGCAGGCTCACTCCACAGTTCCAATTGCGTATGTAATAAACCTCTCCGTAGCCCCACTGAGGTCAACAGTTGGATTCTTGTAGTATATGCTATTTTGATTCCGTAAATGAACCACATAACCTCTTACTGAGAAAAGTCATTCCAGTCTGATTTAATGGTGACGGGATTAATTCTAGCACAGTGAGGAGTTGTTCTATGTGAGGTAACTGAGAAAAAAAAAAACCCACACAGCTCAAGGCTTTCTGCATGTAACACTCCCCTTTCTCCTGGAGTCCCTGTTAAAGATGCACAGCATGGGAACCAGGAGCTAACGTAAGGGCTATGTCACTGAACTCCCATGTAGTCCACCACGGTTCAAGGCCTGGACCCAGTGGCTTAAACTCATGCCAGGTGCATGTGCATGCGTGCCCAGGATCCCGAGAGGGGACTGGGGGTGATTTCTCGCTTTCTGTCTCTCTGTCTCTCTGTCTTTCTGGCAAGTGCCCTATAGCAAAAACCTCTACCAAAAAAAAAAAAAAAAAGATGCACAGCATGGATTCTAAACTTAAAGGACAGTAAAAGATTTATTTTCCTCAAACATGGGAAGTTTAAGAGGTAGTTCACAGTCACTCATCTGTACAGAACCCAGAACAACCCTGCTAGCACCGCCATGACAGAGGCTCACATCACGGAGGTGGCTGTGCAGCGAGAGCACAGGTGGCTGGCTCGGTGCTGCCTGAGGGAGAGGGCCCCGTGCAGCTCTGGGGCTGAGGCCGACAGCAGCGGGCACTCGTCAGGGCACCCACCTTGTTCCCGCCTGCGTGCAGTGAGCCCTTCTAGGCTCGCATTTCCCTCAGGTTACGGCATCTGCTTGAATAACGACTAACTCCCGAGCCCGAATCTGCATTATGTGAGTAACAAGGTACCAGGCTGCCCTGTCAGGCGTGGTTGGGCACGGGGACAGGGAAAGGTGCCAGTGACGCGGCAGCGCCACTTCTCGCTGGGCCAGCCAGTCAGGAGTAGGCGGTCTCTGTCAGGACTCGCTCCCTGGTCACTGCAGTGACGCCATGCGTCCAGAGAGGGTAAGGTCCAGGAAATGACAAGAGGACCCACAGAAGTGACTGAAGCAGGGGTGACACCGAAGCCGTGACCATATGTCTCACTCCAGGAGAATGAGCAGTCTCACCGCCACACCTGCCACGGACGAGGACCACGGCACAGCAGTGGACAGCACGTCTCGGTGCGGGGAGAATCCACACACACACACGCACACGCACACGCACACGCACACAGCCATGTGCTACTCTTACCTGTGAGCACAGCCTTGGCGGAAGGGTCTGCCAGGTCCAGGGCTGACTTGCCGTCCGTGTTCCGGATGTTGGGGTCAGCTCCATGCTGCAGCAGCACTGTGCAGGGGAAGCAAAAACAGTGTCTCACCTTGGGGACACAGAGACTGCCGCCTGTTGTGTCGCCGCGGCACGGCGCGGACATGAGCATACACAGCACAGCTGTCTCTCTTTCACAGATACAAGGAGGGAAGGAGAGAAAAGGCAGGAGAGCACTGCAGTCAGGGCCGCTCCAGAGCAAGGCGGAGGTGACAAGTTCACACGACCAACATGTATCTTGGAACCACACGGATCAGCCGTCCCTGCTCCAGGTAAAAGCTGGGAAGCTGTGTGAGCCTGCCCTGCCTCCCCACCACAGCTGCCGCCGTACCCCCGATTCCCAAAGCCTCCTCTCCCAGCACAGCAGGGGCTCTGTGCAGGCCTCTCATGGCTCGGCCCTCACACGGGAAACACCACGGCCCCTGGCCTTGCAGGTGGCTGCAAACCATGCATCTGCAGTTGCCCTCCGTCACCCAGGTTTGGAGACAGAGCTGCAACCTTGACGATGTACACCGAGGGTGGAAAGTAGCTGCAGGGATTCTCAGATGTGGAGAGGCACCATTCAAGGCCAGTCCAGACTCAGTCGTTTATTAATCCGAAACACTTCCCGGCCGCATCTCCTGTGGTGGGGGTGGGGGTATTGTAACTCTACCGGACGAATGAGACGACTACAGTAAATATGCACTAAAGCGGTATTCAAGTTAACATAGTTCCATTTCAAGTTATGAGCTGCTACCATTAAAGAACCCCAAATCCCATTCTCTAACAGTTCCGTGCTGAAAAACACACATTCTTTTGGAATACATAAAAGGCTATCCTCAAACATTTTTAAGTACCAAGTCTTAGTGTTTAGAAAGTTTGTCCACTTCCTTCAACACAACTCCATCAAGTCTATGGCGCTGTTTAACAGACAAACAGCAGGCAAAGTAGTATTATGACAAATTATATTTTACTAGAGGCATCACGCTGAAGTTTAAACGTCCCTCCAAGATTCATGCATTGTGATGGGATTAGGAAGGTGAGAACAGGGATCGGCAGTTAGCGTAATGGCTATGTCACTGGACTCCCACGTAGTCGACTGCGATTCAAGTCCCGGACCCGGTGGCTTAAACTCACGCTGGGCGCATGTGCGTGCGTGCCCAAGATCCCGAGAGGAAAATGGAAGAGAAGGGACTGTGGCATGGCCATCTCCCAGGGGCGGGGGGGGGGACTTCTTGCTTTCTGTCTCTCTCTGTCTTTCTGGCAAGTGCACATGCCCTATAGCAAAAACCTCTCAAAAAAAAAGGTGAAAATAAAATCAACCATGAGATCAAAAGGTGGAGCTAGGATTAAGGCTTTAGGGTAGGACCCCTCAACTGACAGTGGAGGGCTCTACTCTTCAGGTTCCTTAGGCCCAGGCCCAGGCCCAGGCACACACATGCACACAAACGTACATGAGGTGTGGGCCTCTCCCCACGGCTGAACGCTCACCTACGGCATTACTGTATTACAGGAGGAGGCTTAGAGCTGCTTATGAAAAAAGCATTAGCATAGATAATTACTCGGATTTCAAAAATTTTATACCAAATAGTGATTGTATCTCTGAGGTGAGGACTATTACACTACTTTTTAATTTTAATTTGCAGTAAGGCACGTACATTCACCAGAAAGAAAGAAAGAGAAAGAGTGGGAAAGCACTCTCCTAAGGGGAATGGCCACGCCACAATCCTTTCTCCCCCATTCTCCTTCTGGACACACAAGCGTACGTGCCTGTCATGTTTCCCTCACCTCGAACTCAGGGGACAGCAATGGGGCCTGTGCCACCGGATGGGGAAGAAAACAGGTATCAGAGAGCTCTTGGGACAGTGCCAGAGTAACATGACACACATACACAGCAGCTTCACGAGCCATTACACATACTTAATTATCCACTCAAGAAATGAATCTAAGTGAATAACATTTTACGGAACTTACAGGGGAAGTTCTTTTATTTGTGATTAAATGAGTTAAATGCATTTCCTTCTATCGTTATAGTTAAACCGTGGCATGAAATATAACAATAATAAAGGTACTAATTTGCTGCTATTGTCAAGTTTTCTTAAGTAAAGAAGGCTGAAGCTTTGAAGAGCCGCACTGTACCTGCAGCAGGTCAGACGCAGGCTGCTCTGGTGCACGGCAGCTTCTGTGCACCCTCTCGGCTGTGAGCAGAGGTGAACCAGACACAGCTCCGTGAGATCACTATCGCCAGCTTTCACAGACCACACGTCATCGCCAGATAAGGCCCACGTGGAAACAGCGGGACTGCACGCACGTCCTTCTCCCTAGAGCCTAGGAGTGAAGCTGCAGAAAGCTCTGTCCCGGGAGGCAGTGGAGTCTGGGTTTCAGAAGAGGGCCCCTGACTCGGACTATCTGGCTCTGGGCAGTGACAGGACCCTGGACCCTGGGAAGCTCACTCATCATTGCTGGTCTCTACCTCTTCTTCCACAAAAGGTGGCCAAGGAGGGGAGCCGAGGCTGCGGTCTCAGTGGGCTGCACGCAGCACACCGCAAGAAACAAACACCCTGGCTCGCCCCAGTCAGGGCCATCCAAAGCAAAACCGTGTACTAAAATTCATGTGGAAAAAATGTCTGCAGCAGTTCTGGGAAGAATGAATTCATTTGGTGTTCATTTCCATCATGCCAATTGTTGTTTTATGGTTCTTCTTCTTTTTTTTAAGGTTTCTGGCACAGAGTGGTGTGCACTAGTCAAGAAAGAGAGAGGGAAAGTGAAAACTTACTCCCAGGAGGGGATGGTCACACCACAATTCCTTCTCCGTTCTCCTCTAAGGATTTTGAGTACACACGTATACACATACACCCAGTGTGATTTTCCAGCTACCCGGTCTGGGACTTGAAGCGCAGTTGGCCATGTGGGAGGCCAGGGCCTTAACTACCACACCACCTGCTGCCCCAGCTTCTTCTTGGGAGGAGATTACGTTTCCGAAAGGTTGACTAGATTCAGTTGAATATGTATAAGGAAGCAAGCCAGTATCTTAAAGATCTTACCGTTTATCTTCATAATGAGACTGCAGAATTTGAGAAATTTTTGCTATAGGGCGTATGCACTCGCCAGAGAGACAGCAACAGAAAGTGAAAAATCACCCTGGGGGAGGTGGATGGTCATGCCACAATCCTTCTCCTCCAATCCCCTCTTGGGATTTTGGGTGCGCACACACATGTGCGTGGCATGAGTTTCAAGCCTCTGGGTCCAGGTACGACCAGGTAGGCCATGTGAGAACTAGCAATGTAACTATGATGCCACCTGCTGGTCCTGAGACTGGAGAATGTCAATGGCCCTGAAAGACAGTGACCACATGCAAAAGGAGCTTCGGACTCTACCTCGGAAAGAGGGGCAAAACCCTGGACACATCTCTTCGCTGCCTTTCTGAACCCTCCCCAACTGCTAGCCTACCTCCTCCTCTCAAGGCCGCAGGGACTTAAATGGAGCTCCAGGCAAACATGCTATGTGTGAGAAACATTAAGACTGAACATAGTTTTAATATTAGTAGTTATAAGACTTTAAAAAGTTATGTATTTGAAGACATTCCCCTAAGGAAAAGAAGAAAAAGCCTGTATGGGGGGCTGGACAGTGGCACAGAAGTAAGACACCATGCCCCCAAGTCTGGCCAGCATGAGTGGTTTCCAGGTTTGTGATTGAAGACGTCCCTGAGGGCACTGGGAAATCCATGATGCCTTTTTTTTTTTGATAGGTTTTTGCTATAGGGCACGTGCACTCGCCAGAAAGACAGAGATAGAAAGCGAGAAATCACCCCCCAGGGGGGATGGTCACACTGCAATCCCTCCTCCTCCATTCTCCTCTCGGGACCTTGGGCACACACACACATGCCCGGCATGAGTTTAAGCCACCAGGTCTCGGACTCCAACTGCGGTTGACTACATGGGAGTCCAGCGACATAGCCATTATGCCATCTGCTGGTCCCCCATGATGCATTTTTGCATAGAAAAATATGTAATGACTTTCCAGACGACCTAGTTAAATATTAATTCCAAATGAATCAAAGCTCTAAACGTAAGAGCTAAAACTCTTAGAAGAAAACATAGGCTTAAATCTTTATGACGTAGGATTTAGCAAAGAATTCTTAGCTATGACACCAAGATACATAACCAACGTGAAGGGGGGAAAAATACTTTTTGTTGTTAATATCAATTGAATCACCAAAACTTAAATGTTGTGCTTCAAAGGACGCTCTCAAAGTGAAAAAGACAATACATAGGGTCCGAGAAAATATTTGCAATTTACCTAGTAAGCAACTTGTATCTAGAAAAAAATGTATGTGCATGAAAAAACTCAAGAGTGAAGACCACCCAATTAAAAAACGGACAGCTTCCCTTTGACCAGAACCACCATCTTCCAGTGATTAACCAAAATGACGAGCACAAAGGGAAAGAGGAAAGGCACCCAATACATGTTCTCTAGGCCTTTCAGAAAACATGGAGTTGTTCCTTTGGCAATATATATGCCAATCTACAAGAAAGGTGACATTGTAGACATCAAGGGAATGGGTACTGTTCAAAATGCCCCACAGATGTTACCATGGCAAAAGTGGAAGAGTCCACAATGTCACCCAGCATGCTGTTGGCATTGTTATGAACAAACAAGTTAAGGGCAAGATTCTTGCCAAGAGAATCAATGTGCATATTGAGCATATTAAGCATTCTAAGAGCAGAGATAGCTTCCTAAAACGTGTGAAGGAAAATGACCAGAAAAAGAAAGAAGCCAAAGAGAAAGGTACCTGGGTTCAACTAACGCGCCAGCCTGCTCCACCCAGAGAAGCACACTTTGTGAGAACCAACAGAAAGGAGCCTGAGCTGCTGGAACCTACTCCCTATGAATTTATGGCATGATGTGTGTTAAAAATAAACTAACCAGTGGTCTGTAAAAACAAACAAACAAACAAATGGACAAAGATGTAAACAGGCATTTCTTCAAGGAATACACAGAAAGGGTCAGAACACACACAAAGGTGCCTGACGGCATCAGGG